TGAGGCCAACACAACTGAAGTGAGAGGGCATGACGACTGACCTCGCACGGGCGTGGACGCATCACAACCTTCCACGTTGGGCTCCCGCGTGTCAATCAAGTAGGAGGGCCTTGCGGTGCGGTGTCCGCAGCCTCAGGACCGATGGTCGACCGAGTGCCGAATCAGCCCGCACGCCACGGGAGGCAACAGGGCAGCAGCGCACGCGCGGCGGCCGACGGCAGGCTCTCTGGAGCCGCGGCGCCCGTCGCATCTCTTCGCATACGCACTCGAGTTGTCGAATACCCAGCTTGCTTTTATGTTGTTCCCGTCCTACTTAAGGACCACATCCCAGAAATAACTTCGAGCACCCCGCAAAGTGTCAAAAGAGTGTCGAAACCGTGTCGGGCGAGTGTCTCCGAGGGCCCGACACGTGAAAACCCTTGAGTTTCGGTTCTTTTTGGGGCTCTCGAAGTTCTTTCTGGTGATCGAGGCGAAAGTAGGTTGGAGCATCATAAAGCTTGCTGCTCCCTTTGGTATCTTTCCAGATCTTCTTCAAGCCTCACCCTTCAGCCAGATTCACGCCAGTAGTGGCAGCCGCCCCCAGCTCTGCCCCACTCTCTTCCCCCTTGCTGATCCCTTTGGTATCTTTCCAGATCTTCTTCAAGCCTCACCCTTCAGCCAGAGGCACGCCAGCAGTGACAGCCGCCCCCAGCTCTGGGGTATCCTCCTCCTCCTCCTCCTCCTCCTCCTCCTCCTCCTCCTCCTCCTCTTCCTCACCCTCCTCCTCCTCCTCCTCCTCCTCCTCCTCCTCCTCCTGATCCTCCTGATCCTCCTCCTCCTCCTCCTCCTCCTCCTCCTCCGCCCCCTCCTCGTCCTCCTCCTCCTCCTCCTCCTCCGCCCCCTCCTCGTCCTCCTCATCCTCCTCCCCTCTGCCCCCCTCTCTTCCCCCCTAGGCGCTCTGCGTGGCGGCTCCACGCAGCGAGCGCGGCCCTTAAACGTTGCCGTCCTGCAGTGCGGCGTCTGCCGCAATCTGGCGCTCGCCGGTGTTTTCTGCGAAGCACACGACTCAGAGGGCACGATAGGGGCGAATAGCCCAGGGGGGAGCAATACATGTATCCAGGGGCGCCGATGATTTGTGTCTTTGACAAGGCTCCTGGGCGAATACGTGTAATGCCCGCCCCTGGGCTATTCGCCCTTGTCGTCGCCGCCGAACGACCTGGTTCATTGTCTGGCGCAGGCGTTGTGGCGCTCACAGATCGGTGTTTTTTTGGGGGGGTCAGGGGCGGTGGAACGGTTCTGATGAGTGGCCCCAGCGGCTCCCACCAAAGCTGAACCAGCTTTCCTCCACGGTCTCCGCTATAGCATAGATTTCGCCGTGCCGAATGTGCAGTCAAGCGCACGCGTCTTCCTCTTTTCTTCTGTCCACGATCGCAAGGGTGAAGTGTTTGGTGTGCGTGTGCGTGTGCGTGTGTGTGTGTGCGTGTGTTTGTGTGCGTTGCCACTGCGTCCTGCAAGCACTGCTAAGGGTTTGCGCTCACGGGGCAGCCACCCCTTGGAGAACTGGTCTTCGTCGTTCAGATGGGTCTGCCCACATGTTTTTTCTTTTCCCCCTGGAGGATCTGTGGGATACGCCTAATGGAGGCCATGGTTGAGGGCGTTTGCCAGTCCGTTCTGTCTGCCAGGGGGGCATGACTTGTCCGCCCGAGCCGGCGCCAGCAGCAAGCAGCAACTGAATCGCGGTTTGACCATCGGAGCTTCGCGGCTGTTCGCCAGAACAAAAGAGCATGCTGTACGGCTCCTGTAACTATGTTCATTTTGCCAGCGGCTCTGCGGATCCTGTATGTACAGATCCCGTCCTTATGAATGCTCAGTCTACTTCAGGCTCAAGCTTCAGCCTAGCTTGGCCCACCTAAGCTTTGCTCAGCTTTGCTTTGCTTGGCTTCGCTTGCCATGGCCCAGCGTGGCCCAGCTCAGCCAAGCCCCACTTCGTTGAGCCTCGCTTGGCCTGCCTTGCTGTGGCGTAGCTTGGCGTGGGGCGGCTGGGCTCGGCCTGGCTTGGTCCAGCGTGGCCTCGAGTTGAATGTGTTGGCGTCGCTGGCTTGGTTCGACTCGGCTCATCCTGGCTCGGCTTGGCTTATTCCGTGTCGTTCCGTCTCCTCTCGTTCTATCATGTATCGGCATACCTCGGCTTGATTTGGCATGTTGCAGTTCAGTGTAGCCCATCATATATCGATTCGATTTGCAACCTCTCAGTCTGGCTTGACCCTAGTAGCGGCCAGCACATCATCGCCCTCGCGCAGCTTCGCCTCGCCCGCACGCGCGACACGAACACAACTCATGGGGAATGCACATCGAACTTCTCATCGGACTGCAACTTATATGTATATATATGCATAATATACACAAACGTATACAGCTATACCTAAGTATATGCATACACACATATATGCATTCATACATGTACATACGCATGTACATATATAAACATATATGCAGATGTACAAATATGTATATAAACATCGTATGCAAACATCTGTATACGTATATGCATGTATACATATCCGTAAGGGCTTCGCCCCTTGCCGCCGGCCCTTCGCTATCATAATGGCCTATGTCAGAGCTATGCTGGAATTCCTTTGCGCCGTTGCGAAACAATGTCGGAACCTCCTGCGAGGGCGATTGGTAAGCGGTAGACTCAGTTTCAGAACGCATTGATGAAGTCCGAATTGCTATTCTCGAGTTCCCTTTCGTGCCATGTATTGGAGCAGCGATTTGGGGCTGCTTGAGGCTACATTGGGCAACATCGCGTGGCTTTGGCTGCCCTCGTGGGATGCCTCTTGGAAGCCTGTTGGGGCGGCTTGGCAGCCACTTGGAGCCCTCCTTCGCCCTCGCGGGGCTGAAAGCTCAAATCTTTGGTTCGTGTTTCCGCTTTGGAACTCTCTTGGCGCCATCTTCAGGACTTCTTGGGCCGTCTTGGGTGCCTCCTAAGCTGTCCTGGTGCCCTCTGGGGACGTCTAGGGGCTCTCCTGGAGGCTTCTAGGGCCGTCTTGGGGCGGTCTTGGCCTCGACGGCGCGAATACCTTGTAATTACTACAGATCATGGCCTCGAAAGCGAGAATATGCGGTAATCTACGAGGGATCGTAGCTTCGAAGGCGAGACCGCGGTGTAATTTACGAGGGCGTATGGCCCCAGGGACGCGAATATTGCATAGGTTTCGATGGTGTATGGCTTCGGGGGCGCGAGTATCGCGTAATTTACCAGGGTTTATGGTATCGGGGACGCGAACATTGTGTAACTTATTAGGGTTCATAGCTTCGAGACGCAAGCATTGCACACTTAAGTTGTATGGTTTCGGGGACGCGAACATTATATAATTTACTATGGTTTATGGCCTCGAGGGCGCGACTTTTGCATCATATACGAGGTTGTATAGCCTCGGGTACGCGAGCATTGCGTAATTTACGAGGTGTTGTGGCTTCGGATACGCGAACATCGCGTAATTTACAAGGGTGTATGGCCTCGGGGAGGCGTACGTTGTGCAACTTTTTTGGTTGTATGGCCTCGGAGACGCGAATTTTGTAATTTACAATGCTTTCTGGCTTCGGGGGCGCGAACATCGCGTAATGTACGATGGCTTATGGCCTCGAGGACGCGAACATTGCGTGACTTGAAGCAGAAAGTAGAGCCATCATATTGGAAACTGGAAACTGCAACTGGCGCAGGAAGCAGCAAACCTTCGCCCTGCAGCCTGGTGGCCCCACAAGGGGGGCCGGCGGATATACAAATATACATGTATACATACATGCATATATGCATATGCACGCAAGTAGAAGTGGAACCGAAATGCATTTCAAAATGTGGATCGAAATGCAAAGCGAAGTTCAAATCGATCTGCAAATCCAGGTGCAGTCAAAATGCGAATCGATATGTAAGCCAACATGTAAATGGTAATGCGCATCGGAGTGCAAACCCTTTGACGACCGGAATTCACGTCGAAATGCAAGTCAAAACGAACATTGTAGTTTTCATCGACATGGAAATCGGAATGTACATCGAACTGCACATCCAGCGTCAATCGGAACGCAATTCCATTGCGAAATCGACATGCAAATTGAAATGCATATCGAAATGCGACCCCAGCTGAAATCGAAATGCGACTCCAATCGCGATCGGCATAAGAATCAACATGCAATTTCCTCACGCCCCATCCTCATCCCCCGAACTGTGGTTTTTATTTTGCGATCCATATACCTCGGGAGACCAGTTACGATCTGCATTCCGATGGCATTTCGATATGCATTTCGCTCGCTTGTGTGTGCGTGTTCGGTATTCATCCTGGGGCGCATTCAGCATCTATGTTCGAACGAGGTGTTGTTTCGCATGCCGATTGATATGTTGATTTGGGATTTCGAAGGAGTTTCGATGTTCAATTGTTTTTGAATTTCAAGCCACGTTTTGATTTGCATGTCGACGTCAATTGGATGTTCATTTTGATTTGCATTTCCCACGTGACAGCCACGGGACAACGGTGGAACAACCGACGGGACAACCACGGGATAACCACGGGACAACTTATGAGACAACTCACGGGACAACCCTCGGGACGACCCGCGGGACGACCCACGGGACAAACCATGGGAAAACACATGGGACAACCATGGGGCAATCAATCCACGGGACCACCACGGAACAACCCACGGACCACCACGAGATTACCACGGGCCAACCCACGGGAAAACCCATTGGATAAACCACATGACAATCCACAGGATAAGCAGCGGACAACCCAGGGGACAACCCACGGGACAAATTACGGGACAAACCATGGGACAACCCGTGGGACAACCACGGCTCAACCCACGGAACAACCGCGGGACAACCGTGGGACATCCTCGGAACAATTTCGCGCCCACCGCGAGACAGTGTTGAACTTTTTGGGCCGGTTTAGCCCCAGGAACGGCCGGCATATCATCGCCCTCGCACAGCTTCGCCTCGCCCGCACGCGCGACACGAACCGAAACCGAGACCGACTTCGGGCCGGGTTCACCCCGCTCACACTCCTATCCTTAGGAAGTTTGTTCAAGTTAAGCAGGCGTGCTGCCCAGAGAGCTCCCGCAGCCATCCGGCGCTGGTGTGATCCCTTGGCCATGCCGACCCTGGCTGCCGTGGAAGGCGGAGGTACTACCTTTGTGGCTGCAATTGGGACCGGCGACCCACTTACCATCATCGAGCGGGCAGAGTTTCCGACGAAGCGAACTTCCGCAGAGACTCTGCAGGAGGTTGCGAAGTGGCTCTCCGCGCGGAACTACGACGCGCTGGGTGTGGCTTGCTTCGGACCGGTGGACTTGGACTTGGCGAGTGCGACATGGGGCCATGTCACCACCACGCCCAAGGAGGGTTGGCAGAACACCGATGTCATGGGCCCGCTGCTGGCCGCACGGAGGGTGCCCTGCTTGTTCGACACCGACGTTAACGCCCCCGCCCTCGAGGAGTTCAGACACTACGCGGCCGAGGGTCAGAGCTCTTGCGCCTACGTCACGGTGGGCACTGGAGTTGGTATTGGATTGGTGGTGAACGGCAAGATGGTGAAGGGCCTGGTTCATTCGGCAGCAAGTCATGAGAGCCTCGCATGCTCTCGCAATTCCGTCTTTAGACTGCTCTAGCGTGCGGTAGCGTCTGGTAATTGATGAGAAAGCGCCGATGCAGCGCAGATCGGCGTCGACTTAGCGTCGATTGGCTTCGAATGGGCGTCGACTAGCGTCGGTTAGCTTCGTTTCGCAAGAGCCAGCAAGAAGGCACGGGAGGCTCCCACGAGTTGCCGCCAAAGGTTCACCCGGAGGGCGGCCACATTCCCGCGCTCAAGCGGCCTGAGGACACTTACCAAGGTGTCGGGTTGCATCCGTGGTCCATTGAGGGCCAGGTGTGCGCCGCAGCCATAGCTGCGCGCGCTGGCGTTCCCGCGGACCGTCTGAAAGATATCCCCGACGACAGCGAGGTCTGGCTTGACGTCGCCTACGTGTTGGGCTCCATGTGCGCGACCCTCACGTTATTGTGCTCGATAGAGCGCATCGTTTTGAGCGGTGGCGTGATGCAGAGGGCCTCACTCTTCCCCAAGATAAGACAGGCCACGCGCCGCATACTCAACGGCTACATCCACAACCCGAAGGTGCTGGGCGATGGCCAAGATGGTATCGACTCATATATAGTACCGTCAGAGCGTGGGAACGAAGCAGGCATTTACGGGGCCCTGGCCTTGGCGGACGCGGCTTTGAAGCAGAGCCAGGCCGAGGAAATTGCCGACGGAGAGAATGCGGACTACACTTCTATAAGAGGCATCGCCGCCCTTATGAATTCCTGCACGAGCCGGTGAGCTGCTCGAAGTGATACGTATATTGTTCAAGATCATGTTTTCCACGCCACGCTCCAGTCTGTGTGCTTCCACTGCTTCGCATTGCGGCCATGTTTTTCAGGCGCCATGCGCGTGCATCTCCGCATGTGTTTTCCACATTTGCCCGGTATGCCCGGGCGCCATCCAGGACCCAGCTTCAGTGGCCGGTCAGCATACCGTTCGCTCTCTCGCTGGAGGCCAGAGTGCGTCTTCAGAGGTGCCTGCCTCGCTCGCGAGAGCGCACTCGTCCTCCTCCCGTCTTTGAGCGTCTAGTCTGCAAAGACACCGAGATGTGCTCCAGGGGCGTGCGTCGTCGTCGTTGTCGTCGTCGACGTCCTCCTCCTCCTCCTCCTCCTCCTCCTCCTCCTCCTCCTCCTCCTCTGGCTGTTGGAGTTTGCGAGACGGGGGTCACAGTAGTGAGGCGACCGACGGTATTGCACCACGTTTTCCCCAAACAGTTCTTGCACTCAGGGGCTCTTCCTCTGTTTCGCAGGAACTGGGCCTGCCCGCCCGTATGGCAGCTATGTGGTCGCCGTCGCCGCCCAGGTCGCCGCCTCGTCGCCGCCCGTCTTCTGGGCCTGCCCGTCGGTCTGGCGGCTATGTGGTTGCCGTCGCCGCCCCGTCGCCGTCTGGCCATGCGTTACTTTGCATTGATTTGCGATACTCTGTATTGCATTCCATTGGTTTGCATTGCTATCTGTGCGTTGCTTTTGCACTGGTTTGCATTGGTTTGCATTGCGATGCATTGCATTGCTTTGCGTTGCATTGCTGTGGGTTGCTTGCGTTACTTTGCATTGTATTGCATTGCTTGATTCACTTTGCTTTGCACTGCTTTGCATTGATTTGCATTGTTTTGCCTTGCTTTGCATTGCGTTGTATTGCATCGCTTTGCGTTGATTGGCGTTGTTGTGCACTGCTTCTTCGTGTTTCGTACTGCTTTGTGCAGATGTGCATTGCTTTGCATTGCTGGGCATTGTTGGGGATTGATTTGCACAGCGTAGCGCCACATAGCCAACACCGCATTGTCACACCACAGACTTCACCACCACAGCTCGCATCACATAAATTATACTGCACATGTTGCATCTTTAAGATTGCACCGCACAGCTTACACCACGTAGATAGCACCACATTGATTGCACCACATGTATTGCACCACATAGCCCACCCCCCATCGAGCGCACCACAGATGGCACCACGTAGCTTAGACCACATAGATCACACCAAATAGATGAGTATGTTAGCTCCTACCACGTTGATTGCACCACGTACCTTGCACCACATAGCTCACACCACCTATACTGCACCACATAGCAGGCACCACACGGCTTGCACCACAGGGCTAGCATCACGTAAATTGCACCACACAGCTTCCACCACATGACTTGCACCACACAGCTTGCACCGCATGTATTGCATCACCTTGTATGCTAGAAGAGACTGCTTTGGGTCCACGCTGGCTAACATCTGTTGCCAATCTGGCACGAGGTGCCGACGCGCCGCTCCGCCGGCCGCAACCCTGGAGGAGGATGAGTGGGACGAGGACGGAGGACGGAGGAGAGAGAATGGAAAACGGAGAACGGAGGATGGAGGACGGAGGAGGGAGGACGGAGGACGGAGGAGGAGTAGGAGGAGGGAGGAGGAGGAGGAGGAGGAGGAGGAGGAGGAGGAGGAGGAGGAGGAGGGAAGAGGAGGAGGAGGAGGAGGAGGAGGAAGAGGAAGTGTAGAAACCATGTTCCCCACGTCTGGAGGAATGGAGCTTGGTTTGCCCAATACGTTCCAGATTGTTTTTTGTCGAATTGCATTGGTGTTTGACTCAAGTTCTATTTGCTTGCAGGGATAATTTCTCCAATCGATTTTCCAGAATAGCGGAGCCCATGGTTCGCCCACGGTTTCTTGTGCGCGTGGTTAACTCCGCGGAGCGTTCGCCTCCTTGTTATGACTGCGGCGGCAGCCGCAATGGCTTCGCCGAGCCCAGGCACAGCCGATCCAGTTTTCGATTTGACGTCATCCGAGGTCCGGGAAGCGTGGTACAAACTGAACACGAACCGATTGGCGGAACTGTGCAATGCCGGCTACGAGAACAGAGGTTTCAGGTGTGCTTACACAGCGACCAAGGCAGGTTCTTCTTCGAGAGCAGTGCTACGACGAGGTATTCACAATGTTGCAGATGAACTACAGCCCGAACGCTCTCTGGAAGTCTGCCATCAGCCGCAATATGTACTGCGATCAACAGCTCAAAAAATAGCAGAATTCCAAAGTCAAATGAACGCTGCGGAGCATGTTACCAAGTCCGCGGAAGCTATTCAAGCTGAAACGCCCGGGCCGAAGGAGGTGGAAGCAAATCCGTGAGCAGATACGAAGCGGTTCAACAGTACAAACAATTTCGGGTGACCAGACCAAATGCAGGGAATTGTTCGAGAAGTTGCTGAATCCACTTGCCCAGAAGGGGCACGATTATCGAAAAGCCTTCAAACCTTGGAACAACCAATGCGGGACCATGGATGGGGCGCTACTAGAGGACAAAGATCATGATCAGGTTCAAATTACGCATGGGAGATTTGCACTGAGCGAATACCCCAGGGCGTCGCACACCAAAAATCCATAAGACGACGCAGAGTGGAATATGAGGTAGATGAAGACGACTACGCCAAGTTGGACGAGGATTTATAGTATCTGTTGGACTTCAATTTGGAGGTGGCGGAACCCCGCGGAAAGCTTAAGGGTCTACATGAAGACGACGGCTTAATGGTCTATCACAAGATATGCACATGGCTGTCTGCTGTTACTAGAGTCACGCCCTCCCACAAGATTAACTTGGCCACGAATCCGGAAAAAAAACAGCCAAGGAGGCGAACGGTGTGGCGACCCAATTCGAAGAATGGAGCGCAGTGGTAGCCCCTGGACAAGCATGGGCTTGCGTATTCGATACCGTTACCATCCAGGGCTACTGCGCTGAGGGTTAATCTGACCCACGCAGGTGATTGGTTCGACGATGTGCAACAGCATTGCTTCAAAACGCCAGAATCTGGAAATCTGAACACCTACCATAATATCTTCGTCAAGTGCGAAGATTGGGCAAGAAAGAAAAATGGACGCCGACTTCCGAGAGCAACACTTCAATTAACATCGGCCGAGTAAATGATGAAGGCATTCTTGAATGGGGTTCAGGCATAAACCGGTTACTACGACGGAAGCGGCAATTGATGGGCATGGCACGTGGAGGACAGGAGCGGCATCGGCGACGCCAGACAAAGGAAAGATCAATTGTGAAGGGCCCACGCGTGACAAGTGGGGGTGGGGGGGCATGGGCACGCTGCCAAAGACTGCGCCAAAAAATGAGCCGCGAAACAAAAAATGAGGCGGGCAAGGATGGTGCAAATGAGTCATGGGTTACTAAAGGTTGCAGGCAGGAGGACGCACAGGGGAATGCCAAGGCACCGAGGGTTGCCCTGGGGGCCACGCAAAGGGAGGCCACAGAGGATCCCCCAGGAGGTCACCTCAGGAGCCATGCCCCAGGCTGGAAAGGACGAGTAAGAGAGGAGTTGCGCCGCTCAGTGAGATGGAATATCAGCGAAAGAAGTCCCATCGCAGCCTCCAACCTCATGAGCGCCAACTAGGTTGCCCCCGGCCAAGGAGGGGCAGGAGGCCCAGGATAACCCACGCAGACGTTAGGAAAACCTCATAGCAGGGCCGAGATGCTACTGCGTTGAGAAAGTATAACAAATAATATTATAGTATTGTCTTATGTAGAAATGGAGTGGAGGACGCAGTGCCAGGCGACGAGCGGGAGGGGCAAGGGGGCAGGGCTAGGGACGAAAAAAAAGCGTGCGTCGCATGAGCGCGGCGTCAATGCAATCGCGGCACCAATTGGGGCAACCGAATTTCGGGGTGCATCAAGCAGGGGGCATGTTGGACGCAAGAGCACGCCGAGCTACGGTTTGTAGAAGGCGATGAAGTAGCAGATGGAAGCCAGGAACGAGGGGCGGAAGCGATTGTTGTTATTGTGGATCCAGGAGCCCACAGCATAGTTGGCCTTCCAATCGTGGGAATTCACATCCTGGCCAAACCAACTGAGGTACCCAAGAACTGTAAATCGCGGAAAAAGTGCGAGGGCAGTCATGGTGAGCATGCGCATTCAAGTAGCTAATGTAACAACAGGAAAGTATTCGGGTCTGCGCGTGAGATGGTCGAAGCAGGGAATCGCATAGTAATGGATCGAGACATCGGTGGGCGACCCCGCAATTACCTCGAGCACGAAGTCAAGCGGACAGGGCGACGACCCACGCGGGTTCCGAGGGGGGCTACGGGCCAGGAGAGGACGAGGAAGTAGAGGAAGTTAGCGAGGAGAGATACGCGGGTTTCCCCGGGCAGGGAACTTCATGGCGGGCCAGTTCCACTGAGTCCGAATGGGCCCGTCGGTTCCAGTCGAAATGCAGTCATCATGAGTTTTGGGACAAGACGAAGAGGACGCAAATGGGGGAAGTGAGTTATGCGACGCGAAGCGAGGTGCCTGCGCGAATTGCGCGCGACCTGAGACCGAGCAAACCAAACGTTCAGTTGCGCCGCAGAACTCTTGCCCTTCCAAGCCGATGCCCCCACTGCGCCAGAGGTAAAACCAGGGGGGACGTCGCGCGGGAAGAAGTCCAGAACGCCGGGATTCGGCGCGCCGGCGCGCCCAGTCGACAAGATGCGGTTAAGCGGGTAAAGAGGAGACAGCGAGGATGAAGGCAGAGGAAATTCCAGCATCGCCATGCATTGCGGGGGCGCGAAGATAACGCGGAGCCAGGCTCTATTCCAGAAGGGCATGGGCCCGTGCTCAGTCAGGGCACTTTGCGACGCGATCGCGTCCATTGGCCGCGCAACAGCGATCCTCGAAAGCGACGGGGAGCCATGCATTGCGGCACTTGTCGAAAATCTCACAACTTCAGCGCGGCGTCTGAAGTCAGTCCGGTCGGAGCACCCCGGGCGAATGGCGAAGTCGAAGGGGCAATCGGAGCGGCGGGAGTCCAAATTAAGGCGTTTAAGCATGGTTTCGACGACAAATATAAGATTGAATTTGGGGAAAATCGCGCGCTTTGCTTTGGCCAGTGTCTCGCGCATCTTCCCGTCGACGCATTCGCGGTCGATGCCGATGGCCAGACTGCCCGCGAAGGGCGCCGAGGCCGGAAATTCAACGAACTGTTGCCCGAGCTTGGAGGTTTTCTCGCGCGTCCGAAGACTCCACCTACACGAGGAGGCAGCCTCCTCCAGACGCAGAGGGAGAGCGGCGTCGTTTAGGGAACACAAAAAAAAGCTAAGAGTCATCGCCGGCACTCCCGCGAGCGCCAGCAAGTCTCGCGAGTTCAGCCGCAAAGGAAGCGACGGGAGGGCGTGTAAAAATGACGAGGTGAGCAACATGACGCGGGCACTTTGGCAACCACGGCCCAACGCACGCACTCCCCGCTGAAGTTATTGCCAAAGTAGTTTTTCCATGGCGGCGTCTAGTCAAGATTCGGCTGTCGACGCCAGGTTATGCGCGGCGCGGGGGGGGGGCGGGGGGGAAGTCGGAATGCACGGCGATGGGGCCCGCGCGCGGGCGCCGCGGTTTTGCGGCAACAGCTGGGGGGCGGCGCCGCGCGCGAGCCGCGTGGCCCAGAGTCTCGAGCACGGTTCATCGAGTGACTGAGATGCCATGGTGGTCCGAACCTTCAAGAGAGGTTAGCGGCAGCCCACGTCGGGGCGGGCGCCGACAGCGCCGGGCAAAGCAAGATAGGGAAGACCAATTAATTGACAAATCGGCATTTCAAGACGGGTCAGCCATTCGACCGCACTTCGAACCCATAACCAAAATGCACACGCCTCGAGCCCTAGGGGTAACAGCCCCCGAGCGATTGCGCAATGCGAGACGAAAACGTGCAATGCATCAGGACACTGGCCAGGCGGGCGATACAACGGTCGATTGGAAAAATGAGAATGAAAGTGGCGTCGCGAGGATATTCGACGGGATAGGCCGAGTTCCGCGTTATCTCTGGCGGCAATGACGACGAGCGCCCGGCCGACGCCGCGCCCCCAAGGTGAGCGGCAGCGAAAAGAAAGGCAGGGGGCCTTGGAGGCGACGAGAGGGCCCGAGAAGCTAGAGACGAGGGGGGCGAGGGCCAGGAGACGCAGCCGGCGGGCGCGGGGGCTAGAGGAGGCAAGGGGCCCGACGACGAAAACGCGCAAGAAGGCCACCCCGAGCAGGTAGGCGAGGAGCAGGACAACGCGGGCGCCGATGAGTCACGCGCCGGGCTGGACATGATGGGGCTTGACGCTGACGCAGCGGAGCGGCTCGCCAACGAAAATCCGGGCGCCATCAAGAAGGCCGACGAAGCCAGGAGAGCGATGATGGCACATTGCAAAGGCCAGAACGCCGCGCAGACGCGTGCTTCCGAGGCCCACTCGCCAGTGCTAGTCGCCAGCGCGGCGGAGAATATGAGACCCATGCCCTGGGTAGCTATGGACCTGACCACTGGCGATGATCACGGGGATCCACAAGCTTTCAAGTGCGACGCAATCCGCGCAAAATCCAGGGCACTATCGAGAGCGAAACAGCCCTACAGAAAAAAACAAGCCCACGCGCGCGCGGCCCCCCTTCGACTGCAGACATTCAAGTCGAAAACACTCGAGCCATGCCAGAAGGGATGGGGGACATGCTAGACTAAGGGATGAAACACCTCCTAGTTGCTGTAGAGTTATGTGAAAAGCAAGCCCCCAAAACAAGAAGCAGAAGAAAAATAACAAATAACGAGAGAGAGAGAGAATGGGGAAAAAAAAAAAAAAAAAAAAAAAAAAAAGTGTCATGTTAGCATCCTGATGAGGCCTCAAGCTGGGCCGCGACACCCGCGCGGATAATCTAGACGCGCGAAGGCGTGCATGCGCATTTTGGCGAGCAATTCTGTCACGACTTGCAACGGGTCATGAAAGGAGAGGAAGTATTTATACAGAGACCCACGCGGCCCACAATTAACATTCCCGACATCAAAAGGGCCCTCAGCGTAAAGCGCCCAGGTCAGCATCGGCATTGACGTAATTGAAGGGAGCCGAACGAGCAGATCAGAGGCAAGCGCAGCCCCACTGTCGAGCTACATTCGAAAGTCCAGTTACCAAGATGACTGCTGACAACCGATGGGCGCCCCCGTGGAGCCTGCGACTCGGAAGCCAATGGGGGCGAGTCAGACGAGGGAACAGGAAGCTAACGCGGCCAGACACGAACCACATGAAAGCGGCAATCGGCACGTGCCAACCTGGACCAAACCAGATCACGGCGCCCCCCCACCAGACGCCCCCAGGAATACCGGTGCCAATATGGAGTTCATTCCTGCGCGCAGAGTTCCTCAGGACACGGGCGCCGGTTAAGCGCGCGCGGACAGGGGGGTCAGCGAGATCGAAAGGGGGGATGGGATGGGGGGGCCCGCAGGGGGAGCGCGCAATATCGCCGCTGGATTCACTTGGTTGCCCTGGACATCCAGCTACATCAGTGGATTTGCGGAGCGCGCCTACAACAGGGCCGGTTAAGAATTATAGGGGCATGCGGATCATGCGGAAGTATTGTTGAGATACGGCCAGTTCCCAGTGAGGACATATGCGTGGTTCACCGCGAAGATGGCGGCATGGGATGGCGCGTCGGGGAGCGAGCTCGACCCTGGGCTCACTTTAGAAGCTCGCGGGGAGGAGATGGGGCAATCTAGGAGGCGCGAGATTTATAAAAGAGTTATGGAGGAGGAATGCTGGGCCGCTTCCAGCAAAGCCCGCATAGGGACGAAAAGGACCGATATCAACAAGGGCGACGAGGCCAATCTTGAGTGCCGATCCCGACTGGTGGCCCAGCAGGTTGGTGAAATTCCAAATAAAGAAGCATTGGCAGCCACGCCTCCATTGGAAACGCAAGAACTGCTATTACCTACAGCAGTTACCGAGGGAACATGGCATAACCGAGGTGAGCGCGAGAAAGGACTACGCATGGGGGTTATCAATGTTACGTTGGCATACGTCTACGCCACGGCAAATAAGACCACCATCATGAGGCCACCCCAAGGAGACTCTGCACTGGGCATATTTTGAAAACTACTAAAACCAACGTGCGGCATCTAGGACGCCGCCAGCAATTTGGAAGATAGCCACATGGACGTTGCACGCGATATTTATTCTTGCAACGGGAAAGCCTCACCAAGCGCGTTTAAACATATGGCTCACGGTGCATGGGGGATGTTGGGAAGGCCTAGCGGCCGGCGCCGCCGACCTTGAAGGGGGGCGGCGGCGACGACGGCTGCGGCGGCGGCGGCGGCAGCGGCGACGACGACGATGACGCTGACGCTCCGGAGCCTTTCTTGGGGCTCTCTTGGGAGCCTCTCGGGCTCTGTTAGGGTTTGGGATGGGGCCGGGGCCAGGGCCGAGGCCGAGGCTGGGGCCACGGCTGTGGCTGGGGCCGGGGGCCAGGGGCCAGGGCCGGGGCGCCGGGGCCCGGGCCTGGGCTGCGGCCCCCTGGGCCAGCCCGGGCTGGGCCCGGCCCAGGGCAGGGGGGGCCGGGGCCGGAGCGGGCCAGGGCGAGGGGGGATGGGTGGCGACCCCCCCCGCCGTGCCCCTCCTCCCAGGATCCTTCCAGGGCCCTCCCCATGACCCCCCCGGGGCCCCCCCAAGACCCCCCCGGGGCCCCCCCCCCATGGCCCCCCCAGGACCCCCCCCCGGCGCGGGGAAGGATCTTCTTAAAAGGATAATTGTCAGTGGGATCTGGGAATGCGCGTCTAGCCATGCAGCGCAATCTGCGAATATCATGTTGAGACATCCCCACAGAATGGCCACGAACGGGGTCTTTAAAACACCCTTTGCGGCTCCCCCTAGGGGTGCTGAAACCAGCGCCCCGCCTGAGACATCCGCATAATCTACTCTGGTAGCCAAGGATGTTGAGACGGATAACAATCAAATTGAGACATCCCCACAAAACGGCCGCGAACGGGACCGTGAAATCACCCCTGGCGGTTCCCATTAGGGGTGCTGAAACCAGCGCCCCGCATTTCTGAGTATGAGGTAGTCTGGGTAGGAGTGAGTCTCAGCATGAGTAAGGCCTGAGTAGGAGTAGATCTGAGTATGAGTAGGTCTGAGTATGAGTAAGCTTGTGCCTATTCGCATGGACCTGTCCGCCGTGAATGTCTAGGCGCAAGAGCTTTCGAATATAAACGGGCTTCAGTTGTGACGGTCTGGTCATGAATCTAATTGAGAATGAATTGGAGTGTGAATGAGCCTCAGTATTACGAGCGCGTCTCTGCGCATGAGCCTGGGTCCTCCTGGGGCCTCCTGGGGCCTCCTGAAACCTTTTGGGGCTTCCTGGGGCCTCAGGAGCCTCTTGGGGCCTCCTGGGACCTCCTAGGGAGGATTCGTGCCCCAGGAGAGGCGCAATCTATAGCAACAGACGTACATAAAACATTGCGGATCGGAGCCACAGGAGAAGGGGGCAATCTATAGGAACACACGCAAAACATTAAGGACTCGTGCCCCAGGAGAGGCCCTATAGGAACATAAGTACACAGGAGAAGGACAATATATAGAAACATACGTATGACATCAAGGATTCGTGCTCAAGGTGAGGCCCAATCTATAGGAGCATACGTCAAACACATGGGATTGGAGCCACTTATGTTGCCTTCTGAGGCCGTGCCGAAATGATTGGCGGGGACGCATGCGGACTGTGCCACGGGGACCTTCGGCGGAGCTCCTATGGGGCCACGAAACGTGTGAGGGGTGTGCCGAAATGAGTGGCGGGGACGCATGCGGACTGTGCCACTGGGACCTTCGGCGGAGCTCCTGTGGGGCCACGAAACGCTGTACTGGGGGGGGGAGGCGCATGCGGAATGCGCCACAGGGACCTTCGGTGGCGCTCCCCGTGGGGCCACGAAACGCTGTACTGGGGGGGAGACGCATGCCAACCGCGCCATTGGGACCTTCGGTGGAGCTTCCTATGGGGCAACGAAACGTGTGATGGTGTTGGTGATGCTGTTGATGATGATGATGATGATGATGATGATGATGATGATGATGATGATGATGATGACGATGATGACGATGATGACGATGATGACGACGACGACGATGACGATGATGATGATGATGATGATGATGATGATGATGATGATGATGATGATGATGATGATGATGATGATGGTGGTGGTGGTGGTGGTGATGGTGATGGTGATGGTGATGGTGATGGTGATGGTGATGGTGATGGTGATGATGATGATGATGATGATGATGAGGATGATGATGAGGAGGAGAGGAGGGATGAAGAAGGAGGAGGAAACGCGGGGCGCTGTCTCTTCAAAACGAGGACCCAACACCACAGGATGGTTGGGAATAAAATAAGCTCGACATTCTCAATATACATATATATATATATATGCATACATAAACATTTATATGTGCGTGTGTATATATATACATCTATAAATTATTAACTGCGTGGAGATCCCCATATGTGCATAGATTCGCGTGGACCTGTCCGCCGTGAATGTCTAGGCGCAAGAGCTTTCGAATATAAACGGGCTTCAGTTGTGACGGTCTGGTCATGAATCGAATTGCGAATGTATTGGAGTGTGAATGAGCCTCAGTAGTACGAGCGCGTCTCTGCGCATGAGCTTGGGGCCTCCCGGGGCCTCATGAAACCTACTGGGGCTTCCTGGGGCCTCCAGGACCCTCTTGGGGCCTCGTGGGACCTCCCAGGGGGGCTTCGTGCCCCAGGAGAGGCCCAATCTATAGCAACCGACGTACAGAAAACATTGCGAATTGGAGCCACAGGAGAAGGGCAATCGATAGGAACACACGTAAAGCACAAAGGACTCGTGCCCCAGGAGAGGCCCAACCTATAGGAACATAAGTAAAACATTTAGGATTGTGTTCACAGGAGAAGGACAATCTACAGAAACATAGTACAACGTCAAGGATTCGTGCTCCAGGTGAGGCCCAATCTATAGGAGCATACGTAAAACACATGGGATTGGAGCCACTCCTGTTGCCTTCTGATGCCTCCTGCTCTGGGGGCCTCTCGGGGCCTCCTGTTGCCTTCCGAAGTCTCCTGGCGCTTCCTGTGGCCTCCTGTTGCCTCCTGTGGCTTCCTGAGGCCTCCTGGAGCTTCCTGAGGCCTCCTGGAGCATCTTGGGACATCTTGTGGCCTCTTGAGTCTCTCTGTGGCCTCCAGATGCCTCCTGGGACCTCATGTGGTCCCCAGTGGCCTCCTGGAGCTTGTTGGAGCATCCTGTGGCACCCTGAAGAGAATCTGTGCCCACGAGTCTGGCCACCAAAACAAGCAAACCGAACGAGACATCCTCAAAATCTGGCCCACCTGGGGGGGGGGAATGAGCGCCTCGCTCGAGACATGCTCCAAATCTGCTCCGAACGCGAAGGATGTTGGGCCAGAAAACAGGCAAACCGCTTGAGACATCCCCACAAAACGGCCGCGAACGGGACCGTGTCATACCCCTCGGCGGCTCCCCTTCGGGGCGTGAAAATGAGCGCCTCGCTCGAGACATCCTCCAAATCTGTTCCGAACGCGAAGGATGTTGGGCCAGAAACCCGGCAAACCGTTTTAGACATCCCCACAAAACGGCCGCGAACGGGATCGTGTCGTACCCCTCGGCTGATCCGCTCAAGGCCGTGGAAATGAGCGCCTCGCTCGAGGCATCCTCCAAATCTGCGCCGAAAGCGAAGGATGTTGGGCCAGAAAACAGGCAAACCGTTTGAGACATCCACATAAAACGGCCGCGAACGGGACCGTGTCATACCCCTCGGCGGCTCCCCTTAGGGGTGCTGAAAACAGCGCCCAGCCTGAGACATCCTCACAATCTGCTGTGTGTAGAGTAAGTCAGACAATGAGAAAGCCTGAGTATGAGTAAGTCTGGGTATGAGTGAGTCTCAGCATGAGTAAGTCTGAGTATGAGTAGGTCTGAGTATAAGTAATAATGTGTGTGAGTAAGTATGGGTATGAGTAAGTCTGAGTGTGAGTCAGTCTGTGTATGAGTAAGTCTGGGTATGAAGAGGAGAGGGGAGGAGAAGGAGAAGGAGAAGGAGGAGTAGGAGGCGTCAGAGTAATAACAAGAACCCATCTTAGGATATGGGGAATAAAACAAATAACAACAAAACAAAATTACCCTGGCGACGTACCCAACCCTTGCGCAATGCGGGGCAGAAGTAGCTTGGGAGATTTGACGAGAAGGCGGCGACGTGACATGGACGCATATACTTCTGCGAGCGGCATTCGGAAAGTTCGCAGGTCCCCAACCAAGAGGAAAACGATGAGTAACTAAGTGAACACCTGAGTCACTAAGGAAGACGCGAGGTCCAGAAAGAGACTATAGGGCAAGGGGCTTGAAACGTCGGCGGGGAAGAGCAACATGACGTGGCAACCCAGGGGCGGCGTGGCCCCGCTCAGGTCCGCGCAGTGCTTCACTCCGCTGGACCCACCAGCAGCCTTCGAAAGTGGCGAGCCCACCAGCAGCCGTCGGAAGTGGCAACAGTTTCGCAGATCGCAGCCCCCCAGGGACGGCGAGGTCTCGCTCGGGTCTGCGCGGTGCCTCACTCCGCTGGATCCGCAGCAGCATTCGAAAATGGCGACAGTTGCGCAGATCGCAGCCCCCCAGGGACGGCGAGGTCTCGCTCAGGTCTGCGCGGTGCCTCATTCCGCCGAACCCACCGCCAGCCCTCGAAAGTGGCGACAGTTGCGCAGATCGAAGCACCCCAAGGACGGCGAGGTCTCGCTCAAGTCCGGTGCCTCATTCCGCTGGACACACCAGCAGCTTTCGAAAGTGGCGACAGTTGCGCAGATCGCAGCCCACCAGGGACGGCGATGTCTCGCTCGGGTCTGCGCGGTGCCTCACTCCGCTGGACCCGCCAGCAGCCGTCGGAAGCGGCGACAGTTTCGCAGATCGCAGTCTCCAGGGACGGCGAGGTGTCGCGCAGGTCTGCGCGGTGCCTCACCCCGCTGGACCCACTAGCGGCCCTCGAAAGTGGCGACAGTTGCGCAGATCGCAGCCCTCCAGGGACGGCGAGGTCTCGCTCAGGTCTGCGCGGTGCCTCACTCCGCTGGACTCACCAGCAGCCCTCGAAAGCGGCGACAGTTGCGCAGATCGCAGCCCCCCAGGGACGGCGAGGTCTCGCTCAGGTCTGCGCGGTGCCTCAATCCGCCGGACCCACCGCCAGCCGTCGGAAGTGGCGACAGTTGCGCAGATCGCAGCCCCCCAGGGACGGCGAGGCCTCGCTTAGGTCTGCGCGGTGCCTCATTCCGCTGGGCCCGCCAGCAGCCCTCGAAAGTGGCGACAACTTCGCAGATCGATCGCAGCCCCTCACCCCCTCAGGGACGGCGAGATCTCGCGGGAGAGGAGGCGGGAGGCGGGAGGCAGGACGCGACCGCAGTGCTCTATTCAAAACGATTGCCCAACCAAGGAGGGTTGAGAACTATGCGCGCACACTCTCTTCATCAACAATCATCAGTTTCCAAGAAGCCCTTGCAAACAACCCCGCGAGGGCCCCCTCCCTCCCTCCTCCCTCTAGGCGGCGGGCCTGGGGGGGGAGGGAAGTGAGAAGGGGTGGACCCTCTCAGAAGGCTCAGAAGTCCTCTGGCCTTCTGAGAAGATGCGCGAGAGCCTCTGAGAAGTCCTGCCGCCTCCCTCGCTCGCCGCCGAAGGGCTTCTTAGAAGGCAGGGGCTTCTTAGAAGCCCCCGAAGGCTACTAAGAAGCCTTCTTAAGAAGCCCCCTGCCTTCTTTTAAAGCCATCCCCCCTCGACGGAAGATCCGACGTCGTGATTTTTCGCGATGTTGGCCAAGAGGTCTGGAGACCTCTCCTGGGGCCGGTTTTTCATGCCGAGTCGTTTCCTGGCGGTCCCGGGGCCCGTTGAGGGCCCCCCAGGAGCCGAAAACGGCGTAACATCTCCGCCTTGATTTTTTCACGACGTCGGAGATCGTCGTCGGCGGCGGCGTCGGCGGCGGCGGCGTCCGCGGCGGCGGCGACGGCGGCCGGCGGCGCCTCCAGCCGCCGCCGCCGCGGGCGAGGCCGCCGCGGAGCCGCCAGGGGTGCAGCCCGTCGGCCACGGGGCGACGACGGCGTTGACGACGACGACGACGACGACGACGACGACGACGACGACGACGACGACGACGAGGATGACGACGGCGACGACGACGACGACGACGACAACGGAGACGATGACAACGGTGACGACGACGATGACTACGACGATGACGACGACGACGGTGACGACGACTCAACGACGACGACGACGGCGACGGCGACGACGTCGGCGACCCGACGGTAACGAGAATGACGACGCCGACGACGATGACGACGCCGACGGCGACAACGACGACGACGACGACGACGACGACGGCGGCGACGACGCCGACGACGTCCCAGGCAAGCGGCGAACGTCCTGCTCCTCATTCGCCTCCTCCTCCGACTCCGACTCCGCCGCCTCCTCCTGACCCGCAGCCCCTCCGGCCCGAGGATACGGAGGTTTATTGTGAATCCGCGTAGCGCGTCACTGTGCTGGGCCTCCCAGCAGGCCTCGAAAGTGGCGACAGTTTCACAGATCGCAGCCCCCCAGGAATGGCGAGGTCTAATTTGGGTCTGCGTGTGGCCTCACTGTGATGGGCCCCCAGCAGGCCCCGAAAGTGGCGACAGTTTCACAGATCGCAGCCCCCCAGGGATGGCGAGGTCTAATTTGGGTCCACGCGTGGCGTCACTGTGCTGGGCCCCCAGCAGGCCTCGAAAGTGGAGACAGTTTCACAGATCGCAGCCCCCCGCAGGCAAGACAGGAGGAGGCAGGCAGGAGGCAGGATGGAGGCGGGAGGAGACGCGCGAGCAGTGCTCTATCCAAAACGAATACCCAACCAAGGAGGGTTGGGAATAAAGCAGGAAGCAGGACGCAGGAGGAGGGAGGGAGGCGGGAGGAAGGAAGGTGGAGACCACAGTCCCTTATTCAAAACGAATACCCAACCAAGGAGGGTCGGGAAAAACAGACAAACCAAAAACAAATGACAAAAAGGCAAAACAAAGAACAAAACCAAACAAAAACAAAACAAATAGCAAAAACAAACAAACAAACACCAACTGCGCCGCCCCTCGCCGCGCCAGCCGGCTCGAGCTGGCGCCCCTGCGCCCTCGGGCGTGGCGAGGGCCGGGGGCCGGGCGGGAGCCGGCGGCCCTCGCCCGCGGGCGGGCGCTGCCAGGACGAGTCCGCGGGCAGGGGTGAGCGAGGCGTGGGCTGCGGGTCGGCGGTCCACCGTCACCACCATAAGCTGGAGGGGGAGGGGGTCCTCCTCCTCCTCCTCCTCCTCCTCCTCCTCCTCCTCCACCTCCTCCACCTCCTCCTCTCCTCCCTCCTCCTCCTCCTCCTCCTCCTCCTTCCCCCCTCCAACTTATGGTGGTGGTGGTGGAAAACATTCCCATCAGGCTGCGGGTCTGTGGTCCAGGTTCGGTCGGCACGTCGGCATCGATTCACAGGAGGAACAAGAAGCACACGGACACAATTCATCGTCGACTCCCAAGAACATGTGGGAAAACATGGGAAGTTGGGGGGAAGACGAAAACCCAGAAAATGTTGGAAAATATGGGGAATCCTGTTATTTGTGTGTATTTATTTGTGTGTCCCAGGGCCCCTTCAGATTAACCGATCCCCATCCCCCAGCCCCATCCGCTTCGAGACCCCCACCAACTTGCCACCCCAGTTGGGGAAGCACCCCTCGAGACCCGAAGGGAACGGCCTATGTCCCCATCCAGGGGGGCAGCTTGGGGCCCAGGCCACGCCGCCGGGGATGGGGAGCGGTTGAGCGTAATACTCGGGTCCACACGCGTCAGTCCACACAGTGTTGCCGTCCTCTGTTCATCTTCTGTCTCTCTCTCTCTCTCTCTCTCGCTTTCTCCCCGGGCCTTCCCCCCTCGTTCCTCTCTCTCTCTCTCTCTCGCCCGTTTGTGCTTCCGCCTCGCTGCCCTCCCGTGTCAGTCGGGGCGCGGCGCTCCGGCGCCACCCTGCACGGCCCCCGCGGCTCTTTCGGGGGGGCACGCCGGCCCCGAGGATGAGCGCACCTCCTGCGCCGGCGGCGCTGCCCAGCACCGGGCATTCCGGAAGTATTCGGGGCTGGCGGGTCGGGGGCGGGTTGGGGTTTGAGGCGGCGGGGGTGGGAGAGATCGATGGCTCAAGCTAGGCGCGCTCGCGCCAGATCAGTCATCCTGCCTCACCCCCGCCCGTTCCTTCCCCCCCCCCCCTCCCCCCTCGCAAGCAGAAACAGACTCTGCACAGAGTCTGGGGAGATCGATTTCGAAAGCGCCCGCGTCCTCGAGGACCTCAACGACCTGGCCAGTAACTCGGGGACCTGCCCCCTTTGCGCCTGACAATCGCCTTGCTGTTCACAACAACCTCTTCAGACTCAAGCCATCCCCCATCCTCAGAGATGTTGCTCAGCCCGCAGTGCGCACCAGTGAGCACAACAGACGTGGTGCCCCACTGAAACTGAGGCTTATCCTCTTCATTGCACCAGCCCAAGACCATCTGCTCAAAGTCGGCTGTGGCCTTGAATTCGTCCTGATCGCCGGAGACCTCGCCACGCAGCTGCGTCATGCCCTGGTCGACCTCGCCCTCGCTGTTGGAAAGACGCGCCCTAGTTTGGCCCGCTTGTTTCCCAGTTAGGGCCGGACTTGCCTAGTTAGGGCGTACATCCGAGCACAGTAAATGACTACCACCACCAAGATCGAGAATAATATACGATGCGATTTGGTGCAGTTTTGCTCTGATGAAAAGCCCGCAGCCCCCTCCCGCTGCCAACGGCAACCGGGCTGCCCCCTCTCTTAAGGACCGAAACAGAATTCATCAAAGCACGCGCGGTGGTGGTGTATAAAATTTTGGTACCAAGAGGAGCGATTTTTATACACCACCACCAAGAAGTGCTGTTTCTGCTTCAGGAACTCCCCATGCCGCGGCGCCTGCGAGCTGCGCCGCGCTCCTCTGCGCCGTGGCATCGCAGCGTCGTCTGGCATGACCCTGCCCCTAACCCTTTTTGCGGTAAATTACTGTTGCGGGCGGTGGTGGTGCATAAGAATTGGCCTCGCAGTACTATTATGAGCCTCCAGCACGTGATTGGTTTATCACCTAGAGTCAAGATCCACAAACAAGGAACAGCTAGGGTCCGGAAGGGGCTCGCTGTTCCTTAGGCCCGTTCATGGTTATTTCTCTAGCGCTCATCTTGCATCCAGGCGCTTTGGGAGTCCAAGAGTGGTTTCATTTTTTATCGATCGCTGGAACAAAGATATTTCCACAGGGGGAAGCCTTTAGCCATACAGATGGCGGGGGGAGACTTTTGAGAGGGGGAAACAAAACTTTCCTATCATTTATTTTCCCTGCCCTTCCTGTCTCGCTGCTGGAGCAGAGGAGGGGAGTATCAGGCGTAAGTGTAGGTACGCTTCTGTTTTCGTGCGGTCCACTTTTGCATCCACAGCGGCGCCCGGAAATCACGCGAAATGGTGCATACAGGCCGTAGGCTTCGGATTGTTGGCGAAAGGTGAGAGGGAATCACGCCGCAGGCTGCACCCGATATGGAACTTACTGACTTTTGTTCCCGTGCGCGTGCGTTTGGGATGGCCCACGCCTCGCCCTCGGTCAGTCTCCAGTTAACGACGAGTGAGCTTCTATTTCTTTTCGGCGACTCTTTACCCGAGGACCGCGCTGCGAAGTCCCCCTCGCAGCTCGCGGGCCCCCCACACGGATGGCTCGAACGAAGGCGGACGTGCGGAAGGCCGTGGAGAGCAATCAGACCAAAGGCGGGGAGGGCAGATTGCTACCGCAAGCTTGTCGTTCGAGTTGAGTCTGCATGGCCAACCACACCCATCTGGATTTGTTTTCGGGCGAACGCTCCCCACCCACGCGAGGCACTCTCGAAGCGGGCTAGCCCATCCACCAGGCGGAGATACGAGGTCGGGCGACAGGCGGGTAGCAAGAAGGAGTGAGAGGAAGAGGTGGAGATACACATATATATATATATATAGAGAGAGAGAGAGAGAGAGAAAAAAAAAAAAAAAAAAAAAAAAAAAAAAAAAACGCTTCTCACATTTCCACAGCTGGCGCGTTCACATCAACGCCGTCACGCCCGGCACGTTGCCTACATGACGAGTCTTCACGCTTTGCGCATCCCCACCAGCCCATTCAGAAACCCAGCCCGTGGGAGCTGACTGCAAAAGTGTCGAAGAGACACATATATTGAAACAACGCGGGCAACAAGGGTGAACAGAGAGATCTCTGGAGCAAGGGGGTGGCGTTGGAGGTCCTGTTCGGACCATCTCTGGGGCCCGCGTGGGGGCGAGGGAAGGAGGAGGAGGAGAAGGAGGAGGAGGAGGAGAAGGAGGAGGAAGACGACGACGATGGCGACGACGACGACGGCGACCACGACGACGAGGAAGAGAAGGGGAAGGAACAAGAAAACCATAAGGGCAAGGACGAGGAGGATGACGAGGAGGAGAAGGAGGAGGAGGAGGAGGAGGAGGACAGCGAGGACGAGGACAGAGCCCTCAAAATCGCCACTTGGAACCCTCTTGGGGCTCTTTGGGGGGATCTTGGAGTCCCCTTGAGGATCTTTTGGGAGGTCTTCGGGCCCTCTTGGGGCTCTCTTGCGGGCCTGTTGGGAGCCCTGGAGGACCTCTTGGGGCTATCGTGGAGGGCGTCTGTGAAAAGAGAGAGGTCCTAACGTTTGGTACTCCTTTTCTAGGGCCCTCGAAATCGCCCCTTGGGGGCCTCTTGGGGCGCTCTTGGGGCGATCTTGGTCGCTCTTGAGGCCGTTGTGGGGGCCTCTTGGCCCCACCTTGGTGCTCTCTTGGGTAATCTTGGGGCCATATTCAGGCCTCAAACGCGCATCGGAATCGAAAAAGCGAGAAGGCCAAAATCATTGATTTTATTGTGGCTGTTGAAGGATGTTGGCCTCTTTGGGGGGTCTGATGAGGGCTCCGGGAGCACTTCGAGACGCCTTGCGGCCTTTCGTCGGGTCTCTTGGAGGCATGCCAGAAGCTATCTTGAACCATCGTCGGCTATCTTGAGCCGCCTTGGACGCCATCTTGGAGTATAGGGGCCCTCTTGGGGCCATCTTGGGCGAACAAAGGCCCCCTGACAACTCGCGACCCCCCCGCAAAAAGAAGTATCAGGGAGGGGGAGGGGGAGGGTACCCCTCCCCGAAGGGAAGACGGCTTCTGGAAGAGGATAGGACGATTTCGCTAGACCACCATAGCCCAAAGAGTTGGTGGGATTAGAATGTCGCCCCGTCCCAGTCGACCATCAGCGTTCTTGTCATCCTGTTTCCGTGAGTAGATCGGGGCCTGTTCCATCTTGCGCCACGCAGAGGTCGTCGCGATGTTCCAGCTATTGTTGTAGATGTGTGGCTTGGATCTCAGATGGCGGTCACTTGCTGTCAACTCCTTGCGGCGCATTCTCAGTAGCTTGTTCCGAGGGCTCTGTGATGTTGTAGTATGCCGTCTTATCACAGTCACTATGAGAATTGACGTGCGTACATATGTTTTGATTACAAGGGTAAGGAGAAGGGGGATGAACCACTGGACATGTAAGGTCGTGTGTCAAGTCCTTCATGACATCTTGCGCGCCACCCCAGCCGCAGATAACGCGGTTACGTGATAGCATTCAGGGCCGCAGCTGCAAACGCGTATCAAGCACAGTGTGAACGTCGGGAAGAAAGTGCGGGAGAATCCAGCGGCCTTCGGCCCGTTCCGCCACCGTGCCTGGGCTGTGGGCCAGATGCCTCCTGGATAAATGTTGCGGTCTCTTGGGGTGTATCTCGGGGTCCTCTTGGAGGCTTTCCGGGGGAATACTATCTGTCGACGACTTCTGGGAGGCCTCTCGAAGATACTCTGGCGGCCTCTTAACCCCATGCCCACGATAATAATGTTACCCCCCCCCTTAAGTCGTTAGAGTTTTTTATCGTCGATCAATAAGAGTTTGGTCGGGGGCGCGGGGCGCGGAGGCCAAACTTCATTATCACCTCGGAACGTTATGTTGAGATAGCAAGATCAAGTTATGTTGAAATAGCAACATCAAGCGAAGCGATCACACTTTTTTCAGGATGTCTCAAGCGAAACCAAGAATTTTGGCGTTTGTGGGGGGGCCAGCCGTGCCGGGGCCCTCGTTGAAGGTCTTGCGGCCCACTCGGGGCCTTGTTGGCACATCTCGGGGCTTTCTCACCTCTGGCAGCATCATGCGCTACGCCCCCGAATGCATGCGAGAAGCCAAGTCCTTGAGGCCCCTGGCCCTCTGAAAGAGTATGCACTAATACCCACTACAGAGAACTCGAAGGGGCCTGAGGACACTCCAGTCAGTGCCGACGGCACGCTAGCGGACTCGATGGGGTTATTTGGGTGGGGGTGCGGGGGTTGGATCACGAAAGCGTATTGGCAGCGATGGAGTTCCCTGGCCATTGGCGTGCATGCCAGGAACGTTTACGAGTCCGCCTCCCTTCGCTAAACCGTTCCCAAGTTTATTTCAAGGTAGTAGGGTGCCCAGAAACGCCTCGGATATTGTAGTGGCCTTCGGCCAGTGCCGCCGATCCGGGTCGCTTGGGGTGCCTCCCAGGCTGGGCGGCGACACTTCGCCGACAGGCACGCACGCACGCGCTCGCAGACACTACGCGCACACACGCACACACACACACGCACACACAAACGCACACACACACACACACATACACGCACATACACACACACACACACACACACACACACACACACACACACACACACGCACGCGCGCACCCACCCACCCACCCACCCACCCACCCACCCACACACACACACGCCCACGCACGCACGCACGCACGCACGCACGCACACACACACACACACACAGACACACACACACACACAGACACACACACACACACATACACACACACATACACACATACACATACACGTACACATACACATACACATACACATACACACACTACTACACACACAGACACGCACACCACATTTACACACGCGCGCCACCTTCGCAGGCACATATACACGCACACGCCGGCAACACACACACACACACACACACCACGCACACCGCACAAACACACACACGCACCTCACAACAGACACGCAACTCACCGCCACCTTCGTCTTCCCCCCCATTGTTCTCCGTTTTCTGCTTTTGCCCCGTTCCACTTCTCTCTCCCTCTTTCCCCGATTCCCTTCTCGCGTACACGGACAAACATTACCCCGCGCACACGCGCACGCACCCCCTTTCCCCTCCTATCCTGGCAGAGCTCCCCCGGCAACCCCCGCGGAGGTTGAAGCTCAGCCTCGAGGTTGTAGCTGAGGCTGCTTCAAACTCACACGCCACGGAACCTCCCCTTCCCCTCCCCCACGCCATCGGAACCCACGCCGCCGGACCCCACCCCCGTCTTCCCCAAATTCCCTTTGTCCACAGGCATTTGATTCTACCAATCAGTAAGGTACGTCTAGACGCGTGACCATTATTGGTACGATACCTGCGCGCCCCCGGAGACGCGATGACGACCGCCCCGATCAGCGCGGTCGCATCGGGGCACACACCTGCGTCGCACAGTCCTCCGGGCGCACGTCGTCACGCGCGACCGCTTGCCGCGAGGTCGGCGGAAGCCTCGCGGCGGAGGCCTTGGCGACGGCAGGGGGGAGCGAACGCCAGGCCCCCGCAGAGGAAGCTCGATGCGGGCCTTTTGTCCCCGGGTTTCCCCGAGTTGCTTTTGTGCGGCCAGGCGTCCGAGCTGCGCTCGTAGGTGCTGCCTTCGCGCCGTCCGCACGCCGAGCCCCCTTTTCCTCGGGGCCTCGCTCCGGTTATGTTTTTGTTTGCTTGCGGCTTCTCGCGGGTGCGATGTATCGCTGGCAGCATCGTTACTGCCCCCATCCGCCACCGTGCTCCCTGGCATCCTGCTCGCCTCGATCTCGCTTTCTCCTCGGCTCTCCGTTGTCCAACCTCTCCATGTCGTGCTTGTGAGACTCTCTCGACTGCCGTCCCCATTCGTGCCTTTTCCAGAGAGGAGGTTCTGACAAACGGGCAAAGGGCAGGGAAGCCCACGCGGAAGGGCAAGACTTGTAAGAAAAAAAAGGGCGGCGACAACGAGAAGGCGCGCCCCAGAGAGAGAGAGAGAGAGAGACAGAGAGAGAGAGAGAACGAAAGAAAGAGAGAGAAAGAGAGGGAGAGGGAGAGAGAGAAAGAGAGCGCATGTGAGAAGGGAAGGCGCTGTTTCTGTGGCGGTGGTAGCGACGGAGGAGGTTGCTTCTGAGGCCAGAACAACGGCGAAGAGAAAGATGCGGGACATACATTTCGATGCGCCGCCTCTCCAAATCGACAATCGTCGATGGCACCAGGTCTGGGAAGCTCGTTTCGCCATCGCGCCCATCATTTGGCCAGCCTCACAAATACGGAATTTCGTTCCAGCTGGTGCCCCCCTCCCGGCAAGCTCCGACCTAGGCACACTTTAAGTTATGCGCATTGGTTCGAAGAGATGTGCCCCAACGCTGTCATTGCACGCCAGTGTATATACGGTTGGAGTGCAGCAACAGGGTCAGCAGACGTGACTTCAAGCTTTCACCATGTCAATGCCATCAGTGGCTTGTGTTAGACAAAACCTTCGCTCACGCAGGATACCCTCTAACGCTTGGTGGCTGTGAAGAGTGTGGCATGTTTGACGTCACGCTTCTTGCACCATGACCCCTTCATCTCTACTGTGGGTCAGGGCTGGTCACTTGTTGTGGCGGCACATCTGATGATCTGAGTCGTTCGTTCATGGACAGCTCCCTGCAAAGATAAGTGCAGGCTGTTGCCGTGTGGCTCAAGCCATGTCGGCTCAAGCTACGTGGCGCGGACTTGGCAACGACACTCTCAGTGCATCCGCTGTCCACTCCGACGGCGACCGCGCGGACAATTGCCTCTTCAGCTGACCGGCTTGCACCTCCGGGGAGGCCCTCTTGAGGGCATCCAGCTCAGCGTGTCCGCGCGTCCAGCAGCAGCAGCAGCTTCTAATCAAGCGGAGTGGGCATGGCAAGCCGGTCGCAGCTCCACCAACCAAATGCGCCCCAGACTTAATTTGGGGGCTGGTATCGCTTGGGGCGGAAATTGGGCAGTGGCTCGTTCGGGGACGCCTTCTTGGTCGCCCATGCGCGCACCGGCGAGGAGTTTGCTGTCAAGCTTGAGAGTGTGAAAGCTAAACGCCCCATGATGATGTACGAAGCTCGAGTGCTCGGGCATCTACAAGGGATGTCCAGGATCCCCTATGTACACTATTGCGGCGTGGACGGTGATTACATTGTCATGGTGATGGACCTTCTTGGGCCGTCTCTAGAGGACATGTTCAAACAATTCGATCGCAAGTTCAGCCTTAAGACTGTGCTCATGATTGCTGTTCAGATGCTCTACAGAATCGAGCATCACCACACAAGGGGCTTCATCCATACAGACATCAAGCCCAGCAACTTCCTCATCGGTACAGTATCAAGCCCAGCCCAACGTCAAGCCCAGCCCAGCCCAGCGTCTTCCATAGAGGCGTCCTCCATCGATGTGTACATGATCGACTTCGGCCTCGCCAAGGTGTATCGTGACCCGGAGACGCAGCGGCATATACCCTACAGCGAGGGCATGTGTTTTTTGGGGTTCATACCGCTACTGTTCCATCAACACACATATTGGTATTGAGCAGAGCCGCCGTGACGACCTCCAGGCCATAGGCTACACACTCATGCACCTCATACGTGGGCAGCTTCCATGGCAGGGCATCCAAGCTGGCACGAGCGAGGAGAAGGACAGGATGATCATGGAGTGCAAGAAGTCCACGCCCATCGAGACGCTCTGCAACAGCTATCCGGAGACCTTTGCCGTGCACTTCGGCGGGAGGTTGTTGTTGTAGCCCAGTGCCAGCTGCAGGCTGTGGGCAACCTCCCCATGCCGCGCATGGGCCAGAGGCGCGCGTGGTAGGGTAAAATGGGAACAATTCTGCACCAGAGTGCGGAGCCCGCCCAGGCTCCCGTGCGGCACCGCCTCCATCGTGTCCCCGCCCCAACCGTGGGGGCAGGGAGGGCCAGGGCCTGGGAGTGAAAAGGAAAAAACATAGGTAGCCGTATCATTCAGCCTCGCCCTCACGAGGAAGTGCACCAAGCAATGACAATTTAAATGAACGTGGCCAGCAACTTGCCCAGCATTCCAAGCCCCACCTCCAAGGCGAGAGGCGCTGGCACGACCAAAGCACACCTACCCCGAGGGCGCGTAACGAGGGATACAGCCGTTGGCGATCCGCGTGCCATTCTATGCAATACCAAGGGTGACACAAGTGCGTGCACAATAAAGGCGGACAAGAGCCGAGCTCCGCAGCGGACAGCAGTCGACACTGTGAAGTCGGCAGGGCCTGCTCCCAAAAAAGATGGAAGCGAAGAAGAGGCATCAACGATGCGTGCGATGGAAACCTAAGTCAGAGAAAGTGGTACAGGAGGGAACGCTTCAAAAGACACGGCTGTATGCGCCCCTTTGGCCAGCAAGAATTCCACGCAGAGGAGAGGAAGAAAGACGACGACGGCGACGACGACGACAAGGAGGGAGGCACACCTTGCTGGCCAGACACGCCGGATGCTAGCCCATAGAGGGCCAGATGGCATGGGTGGACAGGTGAGATTATTGAATGGCCTCCAGCCAGTGTCGCCGATCCGAGGCGTTCCAGATGCTGGTGGTTGACACGAAGACGACGGCGACGACGACGACGATGACGGCCTCGACGCCGACAACGGACGACTTACGACTAACGCGAGGAGGGAGGCGGGAGGCGGGAGGCGGGAGGAGGGGGAGCCAGGAGGGAGGAGTAAGGAGGGAGGAGGGAGAAAGGAGGATAGGGAGGATGGGGAGGAGGCGGAGGAGGAGGAGGAGGACAAGGTGGAGGAGGAGGAGCAGCAGGAAGATCAGGATGAGGAGGGAGGAGGGAGGAGGATGATGAGAACGAGCATGAGGACGAGGATGAGGACGAGGATGATGATGATGATGATGATGATGATGATGATGATGATGATGATGATGATGATGATGATGATGATGATGCTGCTGCTGCTGCTGCTGCTGATGATGATGATGATGATGATGATGATGATGATGATGATGATGATGATGATGATGATGATGATGGTGATGGTGATGGTGATGGTGATGCTGATGGTGGTGGTGGTGGTGGAGTTGATGATGCTGATGCTGCTGATGATGATGATGGTGGTGGTGGTGCGGAGAAGGAGGATGAGGAGAAGCAGCAAGGAATAATAGGATGATGGTTTTGCTGACGATGATGATGATGATGATGATGATGATGATGATGATGATGATGGTGATGATGTGATGATGATGATGATGATGATGATGATGATGATGATGATGATGATGATGATGGTGGTGGTGGTGGTGATGGTGATGGTGATGGTAATGGTAATGGTGATGGTGATGGTGATGGTGATGATGATGATGATGATGATGATGATGGTGGTTGGTGATGGTGATGGTGATGGTGGGATGATGATGATGATGATGATGATGATGATGATGATGATGATGATGATGGTCATAATGGTCATAATGCTGGGGGTGGTGATGATACTGATGATGAGGAGGAGGAGGAGGAAAAGGAGGAGGAGGAGGAAAAAAGAAAACGAGGAGGAGGAAGGAGGAGGAGGAGGAGGAGGAGGAGGAGGAGGAGCGGGAGGAGGAGGAGGAGGAGGAGGAGGAGGAGGAAGAGGAGAAGGACGAGGAGGAGGAGGAAGAGGAGGAGGAGGAGGAGGAGGAGGAGGAGGAGGAGGAGGAGGAACAGGTGTAGGAGAAGGAGGAGGAGGAGGAGGAAGAAGGAGGAGGCTGGGACCGGGATCGAGAGCCAGGACCAGTGGCTGGGGTCGAGATCTCGAGCATTGACCGGCCCCGGCTGAGAGCCTGGACGGGGACCGAAAGCCCTAGCTGGCCGGCCCCGGCCCCCGGCCCCCGACCGACCCCGCCCCCGGTGGCCCTGGGGCCAGTCCCGGCCTTGGCCCCGGCTCCCGGTCCCGGCACCGCCCCTGGCCCCGGCCCCGGCCCCGGCGCTGGGCCCGGCGCCGCTCCCGGCGCCGCCCCCCCCCCCCCTTGCACTCTCCCCAACCCGGCTCCCGAGCACTGAATGGCGTCGCGAATGGCGTCCTCCCCGGATGAGGCCCCCTTCAGACGGCGAGGGACGGCGAAGATTACGCCGTCCTTCAGCTCGCCCGCCACGCAGTGCTTGCGGAAGGGTGCCAGATGCATGTCGATTGCGCTGGCGCCGCAGCCTGCGCGTCGGACCCTCGGGCCGCCTCGAGCCCGTACCACCCTCGGGCCCACTGGTAGGCGCAGGTCCACGACAAGCTGGGCGGAGTGGTTGTCCATAAAGTGCCCGCCCACTGCAGCGCCACTGATGTGGTGGACGGGCTGCTGACTCGCGATCAGTGGCTTGGCAACAAGGCGGCTGCCAGATATGCTCGTTGCAGGGCCGAGCTGCACCGCAGCTCGGAGCAGGATCGTCTCGTGATCCACGGCTGTCACGAGGTGGCCAGAGAAGTACCGATGTTCTCGGCGCGGCAGGAGGCCTCCATTGCCGACGAGAGGCTGTTCGACCAAGTTCATCTCTCTTGGCTCCAGCACGTGGACCTCGGAGAGTTCCTCCCAGCGGAGGCCAACGGCCCGAGCCGCCCTCTGCAGGCGTGCGGCGGTCCTCCGGACGTGGGCGGCATGGCCGCCCCTGGTTGCGGTGCGGATGCCGGCGCTCTGGAGGGCGTCAGGCCGTGGCATGCTGGCGGCCACTCGTGCCTCGAAGCGCCGATCGAAGGCTCTGATGGAGCCCTGGGCGGATCTATAGTTTGTTGCACCACGTATGGATCCGGCGGCCACCCTGGAGCGAGGGGGGGTCGCAGTGCTCTCGCGTCGGCTTGCCCTGGCGCCCGCACGGGCGGCCGTGAACGGCAATTGGCTTGGATCTGCGCGGGAAGCACCCATCACGTGGCGATGGGGTGTCGGCCCAACGGCTTGCCTCTCGGATTCGAATGGGGAATTCATGGCCACCAAGCTTGGGCTCCCAGAGGTTCCCCCTCTCGGCCCAGCCCCTCCCCTGGCTTCGGTAGGTCGGCCTGACCTTGTCCGAGGCCTCGCCCTGTTTGGCTTCTCCTCCCGCGCCGAGGCCGTGAGCCTAGGGGCGCGGGTGCTTGAAAGGAGGAAGCGGGCGGGCTTTTTTCGGACGGTTTTGACGACGTGGAGGCGGGGTAGGTTTTGTTTATGTTTGATGCATGGTTAACTTGGTTTGCAGACTCTGCAGGTGGCGGTGCTCCTCGTCCTCCTCCTCCTCCTCCTCGTCATCATCATCATCCTCACCATCAGCATCTTCATCATCATCAGCAGCATCAGCATCAGCATCAGCATCAGCATCAGCATCATCATCATCATCATCATCATCATCATCATCATCATCATCATCGTCATCGTCATCAGCATCAGCATCAGCATCAGCATATTCATCATCATCATCATCATCATCATCATCATCATCATCATCATCATCATCATCATCATCATCATCATCATCATCATCATCATCATCATCATCATCATCATCATCATCATCATCATCATCATCATCATCATTATTTGATCCTCCTGCTCATCCTCTTTTCTTCTTGTTCACCCTCAACCCTCCTCCTCTTCCTCCGCCGCAGCTCCCCTTTTTCCGATTGCACATAACACGATGAAGTCATTCTGGGAGTTCCAGCTCCGCTATGACACGCGTCCGCGGATAGAGAGCAAGTCAGCGCAATAGGAAGGGATGGGTTGGAGGTGCCTGGTGTCAGATATGGCGCGAGCGCACCAGGCTTGCCCTATTTCCCTCTCTCCTCTCCTCTGGCCGTGCAATGGCTCTGTCGCCGTGCGCCATTCGTCCGCCGCTGACTATTTTGCCATCCCCCCTCGTCCTCCCTCACCGCTCTCCTCGTCCTGGCCCGGGTCCTCCAGGAGGGAAAAACACACAGACACAATTCATCATCGATTCCCAGGAACATATGCGAAACTATGGGAAGTGGGGGGGAAGACAGCAGCCCAGAAAATATGTGAAAATGTGGGGAATCTTGGGATTGTATTTGAAACATATGTGAAAATATGTGAAAATATGAAAATATGTAAAAGGTGTGTATTTGTCTGGGTTTGTGGGCCCCTTTAGTCCTCGTCTTCCTCCTGCTCCTCGCGACCTGCTCCACGGCAGCTGCGGTGTACGGGGCGACCTGCCGCCAGGAGAGCTCGACCCCGCCGCAGGGCAGAGGTGACCCAGCGCAGTACGAGGGCTCCACCGAGGCCTTCCCCGACGGCCCGCGCCGATGAGCAGGGGAGGGAGGAGGAGGAGGAGGAGGAGGAGGAGGAGGAGGAGGAGGAGGAGGGCAGGGAGGAGGAGGAGGAGGAGGAACAGGAGGA